GAAAGAGAGAGAGAGAGAGAGAGAGAGAGAGAGAGAGAGAGAGAGAGAGAGATAGATAAAGCCCGCACTCCGCGCCTCCATATAGCCCTCTCTCTCTCTCTGCTTTGTTAATTAGGTTTTGGTACTTATTAGCTCTCACATTGCCTGTGCACACCGTTCCAGAAGCACGACACTACGCTCCCCGCATCTTTCATTTACGGGAAATGTGTTTTACTGTATTACAGTGTACACACGCAAGGCGTTCAGACTAGTGGCGCTGACTTTATGTTTATTAGACTATGGATCTAATGGAAATGTGTTTCTATGGGAAGCCCATTAGGTTGCTCGCGAAATTTTCTTGTTTACGCCATAAAATCAAAATTCGCTTGTTATTTAAATTGCTGCTTTCGGTTTATGAAAGATTACCCGCTCGCGGGAACATACTAAATCATATGTCGGGTAACGCTTCGAATACGTTGCACCTTTTTGCACTTATTTCAACCTAATCATGGTTAGCTTTCATCGTTTTTTAAACAACGATAGCGACATTACTGCATGGCTATTCGAAATTTTTGTTTTATAACGCTCTTACGATCCATTACTGCAGCACTTAATGTTCCATCGTGTCTACTATTACTATTCACTGTTATCACAACACTCCGTAATTGCATTAAGTATAGACCGCAATTATAATTCATCATTAACTAATTAAAATTAGATTAATTAATTTTTCCAGCACATTGAAATATTTCGTTCGTCACGATTTTGTCATTCATCGATGGTGATTAATTCCGGTGTGTTACGGTAGAAGCTTTGGAGGTTCTTCTAAAAGAACTAGAATCAGGTTAGCAGTATCCGTCGGCTTAATTAGCTATCTACTTACCTGGATCGACAATGAAAGCAGGTACCTCCGTGACCTGGGGCCGCGGGGGAGCAATGTAGTTGCACTCTCTGTTCACGGCGTCGTATTTGTCCTCGCATCTCTCTATCGCTGGTGTCCAGATTGTGTCCGCGGGGCATATCTTTATCTTCGGCCATCCGTGGTCACAAATGTAGAAGATCTGAAGAAGGAAAATGAAGAAGAATCTGTCTGAGGAAGTGGCGCGCGTTTGTTTTCTCTTCGGAAGGCAGAGTGAACGTGTCGTGAATGTACGATGCTGTCTCATCAAGCTTTCAGTGTCCCGCAGCGAAAGCAAGACTATTATACACACACACACACACACACACACGCACACACGCACGCACGCATACACACACACACACACACACACACACACACACACACACAGATACACACACACGCACGCACACGCGACACACACAAGCACACATACACACACAACAGTAACATTATACACCGCACGCACGCACACACACAGCACACACGACACACACCACACACGCACGGCACACACACGCACGCACGCACGCACGCACACGCGCACCCGTCGTATTTGTACTTCGTATTCCCCGAGTAAATGGATGCGCGTCAGTTCATTTTCTCTGACTTTCCTGCAGGAGGCCGCGTTGTGGCGAGTACAAGTTGTTATCCCAACACTAAGGTGCGCAAGCTCAATTATTAATTTGCCAATTCGCTGTCGACTGTAGCAACTATTCAGCCCGATACGCCAGGGTCCGACAACGACTACGAGATAAACAAGTCGAATTTCCAAGGGGCCGGTATTTCATTTCCGGGTTAAATAGGCATAGCGTTGTGGATATAGTAAACATCCAGTCACAGATCCTTGCCTGCGTTGAGATATGCTAAATCGGATGGAGGGAAAGGGGGTTAACGCATGCTCGCGCGAGAACACTTCTCAAGAGGAAAATGAAGAAAGGGAACAAAATATCATCGGTGTAAATGATAAACAAATGACGTATCCCCAGTGCTGCTATCTTTATAGTTTTTATTTTCACCAGCTAATATGATGTAAGAGTAGCTATGGTTGTCTGCACAACCCCCAGGATCATTGCCCAGGATGTTTGACAGCTACTCAACCTTCGCTCGGTCGGGGGCGATACAATACACTAACGAAGTACCGACAAATTTCATAACAAACGAGAGAATGCGCTAATAACGCTTCTGCTTCTTGGAACGACGGTATATCGACGCCGCTAACTTCACCGCGCGAAAATCTATTAACGAAACGCAAAGGAACGGAACGGGAACGCGTCCCCGAGGACTCAAACTCCGTTGATCATTATTGCAAGAGCTAATAGTGTAGTATTAGCGCTTGATTACTGTAAACTCTGGTACGTATCGTTGTATAGTTGTGATTTTGCGTGTGTATATACCTGGCAATCGGACGCATCGGCCGAGAAGTTTTTCGCTCCGATATTCGGATTGCAGTCGTCTTCAGCGCTGAGCGGGACTCCAAGTCTCTTCTCCAGCGGAGAGGAGCAGCCTGCGAACAGAACAAGGGTGTGTGACGTCAGTGTGACGTCAGATAGCTGAGCTACGTGTCGGCAGAAAACCGACGGTTTTTGATACAAGTTGTGTGGCGTCAGAGAACTCGGCGACGTGTCGACATAAAAAAACAGACGAATGTTGACATAACAGCATCGACGTCTTCTTCCGACGACGGGGATTAGTCGCTAGGGGATTGCAGCGAGCGTGCGTGCGTGCGTGCATGCGCGCGCGTGTGTGCGTGCATGCGCGCGCATGTGTGCGTGTGTTTGCCTGCTTGGCCAGATGCATAACTATATTCAGCCCAATCGCTATGCTCGCCGCTAGATAGTCTGTAAGAACGAGCGAAGAGTGGATGAAAATTATAATGAAATGCGCGAACTACTGACTGACACTACGTCGTACCTGGCTCTCAGGTTGAGTGTGAACGGAGCGCGATTCGTCTCGTAGTGACGAGCGAAGTTAGTACGCAGCAGCTCCAGAGCCTCCGCCTTGTCGTTAGGGAAGTAACAACTATCCACGTTCTCACACAGAGTGTCGTTAGTGTCAATCCAGTCCACCAGGGGGATCTCCCACATGCCAGGCACGGGCTCGGTGACGCACGGCCGCACAGCGCAACCCGTAGTATCGAGGTAATCGAACGTGTAGGGCCAGGTAGCCGGGTTGATGCGGTCGGTCGCGTAGGACGAATCCCAGGTGAATTCGTCGTTCTGCATCCTCCTCATGAAATCGTTACCTTTAGTCTGCAGGTAGGCAGCGCGCACGCCTGTTATCTCGTTCTGAGGAATGCCGGAGAAGATATCGAACATGACGCGCTGGTCGCGGTACTCAGCCGACATCTCTCTGTCCGACATCTCAGCCCAGTATTCCGCCGGAAGTCGCTTCCTGAAACGGGAACAGTGACGTGTGGTTAATTCTCACGCGCTTCAGGTTTATAAGATGTTCCCAGAAGATGCATAAAAAGGAGCGTAATTGTATGCAGCAGTAAGAATCTTACACGGATTACACGATATTACGCGTAATTTACACGAAAAATCTTCGATACGTTGCCGTTATACGTTATTAAGAAATGGATGTAGACGTTCGGAGTAATGAGAGTAATTATATATAGATTTACGGGATGGTTTTCGATTTCCCTACGCAGAATAATTAGTAACCTGCACGCATCAGCCAGACTGCCTAATTGTTCGCTTATATTGGGGCATCGCCAAATTACTGACGATGCTATTCTAATTTCCCCTTTGCTTATTTGTTTTCGCTCATTAGATCACTGAAATTAATTGGTTAGGTTTACGGTATCGTGCGCAATTAGGTGCAAGTAATCACGCATCCTATTGATTTACCCACGCGTCAAAGTCACAGCTGAGGTCGTGCCAGAATACTGTTCTGATACGACATAGAAATTCTATCACGTTAGTTTACCAAACCGACACGCCGTATGCACACAACACTAACCCTTCCAGTTTAATATCTCCCAGAGATATCACGCGCTCATTGCAAATACGAGGAGAGTGACTCGAGAGAAAGATTCGAGATTTCATTTCACGTTTCATTGCAGCTATTTACTTGTAAATTCTGGACGTCATGACACAAAGCTATGAGTTTAATACTGAAAGAATCTAAGTTTAGTTCTATCTCGACACCTAATCGAATTTCGAGAGGCAGCGCATCAATATTCTCATCACAATTTCACTCTTACTCTACGATTGATCCGAACGACGGTCTCTTTGCTTCTTAAAATACTACTGTTCTTTAACGAATACATCCTCACGATGTTTTCCAGCATGGAAACCCCCTATCATTTTATCAGCACAGAAACCCCCTATCATTTCATCTGCAGGGAAACTCCCTATCATTTCATCTGCATGGAAACCCCCTATCATTTCATCTGCATGGAAACCCTCTTCAATCGATAGTGAAATAATCACGTCGCGGGACGATCACGAATTGAACCTCATGATCATATTTCTCTCCTAGCGAACCCGATCTGTCCTTGCCAGAGCGCAATTATGTAGGATGAATAGAAGCAACGTATACATCCACTGTAAATCCTAGAAGCTATACAGCTATACAGCTATACCCGCTTCGTTTACCCGTTCGCTCGCAGTGCTACCGCCGCCGCCGCACACGCACGTTAGCACCTCTACAATACTGCATGCATGCCCGCTTGCCTCGAATTGCATGCATGCCCCCCCTTGCTGTCTGTATTGATTGATGGCACCGCGAGCATATTGAGGGGGATGTCCTGAAATATTCTACGCTCTTGTAGCGATGCTGGCGTGCAAGCTAGCATCGCGCGCGCTCATTAATTGTTCAGGACGCCTAGCAAGCAGAGGTGTTTATTAAGCTGACCAGATAGCGTGGTCGACAGAGGGAGTGCGGAGAGGGGGCACGCGGTGCTCGCGAAGCAACGATCGCAGGTCGCATAGACATAGGAATGCGACCTGGCGAAGCTCAGGAGGTGAGAAGATAATGCCCGGATGTCGGTCGCGAAGGCCGGGCTCATATAAAAGGCGCGCCGCGCTCGGCGCGAGAGAACTCTTCTCCCCATGGTTTCACCTAACTGTCCGTGTTGCACGTATACCCCCTGTTACCGTTGATTTACTGTTGCTTTGCCGTTGTGTCTATAATGGCTTACAATATCACCGGCGCGGTTCATTAGAACGAAGAGTCGACTGACTTCGCGTGCTAAAAGCTTCTCATAATCTCCTTTACAATCTCGATCCATTACAGCTACGTCTCGAATACACTGCCGTAAGTGTGGGAATGTTTAAAGTTCGCCTTTAGGAGGGTTTTCATTGTACATGACTGATCATTGTTACAGGGCGCGTCGGTTAAACATAAAATAATCGATTAGGGTACGGTGAATTCTTTGAATCAAATCGAACATTTTATCTATACGTCTCCGAACCGTCTGTACCGGCCCTGTGTGTGGGTGGCAGCAATTGCAGTTTTGATCATTATACTAGGAATACTACACGAGAAATAATTATTTCTGTCAATTTGTGCTAATGAGCTTATTCATTAGAGAAAGCGTACGAATGCTTTCATGTACAACACGATCATTATTGCGCTTTGAAGGCGGCTGTGGTGTTCTGATAACGCAAGAGGTTTTCGGGCTTCCGCGAGATTAGTGTCCCGACGTCTTATCATTCATCCGCATGATGTCCATCACTGAGGGTCCTCGAGAATGTAAGACGACGCAAATTGGTCGGTTATCGTGCATCTGTCACGGTAAATCCCGCGCCGGTAACCTTACATCTCTCACGCCACTCCCTCATATAGCATTCGCTGCCCGCGACTTACTATATACTATGGTCTAATCGTAGCGGTGGGTGAAAAAGAATACTATACGTGCAGCTAACGTCACGAGGTGACTGGGAGCGTAGATTGCGTTCCATCAAATATATAACGATGGAGTGTGAGTATTTCCTCGTGTGCCACGAGTAATAGTCCTATCTCATAGTCTGTTATATGGCTGCTGCTGAAACTCTTTCTATTGCTACTAGTTCCCATTCGCTGAATTATTGATGTCGGTTCTGCTGCAGCAACAAATATCAATGACTAGCGGGATACCCAGCGGTGCCCGGGGAAATCAGTGGCGTTACTCAGCTGGTGACCGCATGGTTGAAAGGAAAATACCTTAAAAAATCCAACTATCTATCCATCCATGCATTCATCCATGCATGCATGCATGCATCCATCCATCCCATTCCACGCCATCCCATCCCATCACATCGCACCGCATCCCATCCCATATCCCATCCTATCCCATATCCCATCTCATCACATTCAGTGCCATGCCATGCCATGCCATGCCATGCCATGCCATCCTATGCCATCGCATGCCATCGCATGCCATCCCATCCCATCCCATCCCAAACAGTAAAAAATAATAAGAAATCAAAAGATAAAAGACATTAAAAATAAAAATAATTAATAAACTAAAAAAATAATTAATTAAATAAATTAAGAAATTAAAAATAAATTAAAAATTAAAAATAATACCTACTAAAAAGGTAGGTAAAGGAAAAAAAGGAAAAAAGGAAATCTAACTATCTATCTATCCATGAGACGTGCTGATTCTAAAAATATCTTTAGTTTTCCTCTAGGCTGCGGAGTTCTCTAGTTATGCGCGAACACACTAATTCGGCTGAACAACTTTATATCTATAGATGCTATTGTGCTTCGCGGTGCATGCGGCTATTATTGCTTTGGTGATGACGATGGCGACGACGATGACAATGATGACAGCTATCATTAGAATATTACTACCTGGTACTATCACCACCACAACTACTACTGTTACTGCTGCTACTGCTGCTACCGCCCCCGCCGCCGCCGCCGCTGCTACTGCTGCTACTACTACTACTAGTATATACGACTACTGCTACTACTGCTGCTACTGCTGCTGCTGCTACTGCTACTGATGCTACTGCTGCTATTTCTGCCGCCGCCGCTGCTGCTGCTTGTGCTGCGTGTGATACTACTGCTACTGCTACTATACTACTGTTATTACTACTGCCGCTGCTGCGGCTCCCGCTGCTGCTTGTGCTACTACTGCTACTGCTACTATACTACTGTTACTACTACTGCCGCTGCTGCGGCTCCTGCTGCTGCTTGTGCTATTACTACTACTGCTACTATACTACTGTTACTACTACTGCCGCTGCTGCTGCTTGTGCTATTACTACTACTGCTACTATACTACTGTTACTACTACTGCCGCTGCTGCGGCTCCCGCTGCTGCTTGTGCTATTACTACTACTGCTACTATACTACTGTTACTACTACTGCCGCTGCTGCTGCTTGTGCTGCGTGTGATACTACTGCTACTGCTACTATACTACTGTTACTACTACTGCCGCTGCTGCGGCTCCCGCTGCTGCTTGTGATATTACTGCTACTGCTACTATACTACTGTTACTACTACTGCCGCTGCTACGGCTCCTGCTGCTGCTTGTGCTACTACTACTACTGATGCGCACTATGATACTACTATACTATGACTATTAAGCTACTTAGACGTCTTCGTTAATAATAGATGCACGCGAATCATGCGGCAATTAGAAGCTTATTAGCTCTACTCAAAAATGCAATTCCGTCCGCAAAGACAAACGACGTTCCAATATGGAAGAACGCGAAATTACATGGCTATATCTTACCCGTGTAGAACAGCGTATGCAGGCGTGATTACAGGTGACTATCTTACCTGTGTAGAACAGCGTATGCATGCGTGATTACAAGTGACTTACCCGTGTAGAACAGAGCGCACAACACCGCCACGACGATGGCTATCATGTTCATCTTAGAAGTCATCACAGCTCAACGACTCCTTCTGTCAAACTGAGCGTACCTCTGCACTACGCCTCTCTGTATATATACGTGCGTACGAAATTGTGAACTACTTTCGGTTTTACTAAACAGAAAGTCGCTCGCTGAAATCGGAGCATTGGGTAACTGGCTCGTCGTTTGCTCGGATGAACCAACCATTCTAAAGGAGCGGACCTATTTCTCCAAAATTACATATTTTATCGCGTACAAAGCTGATAAGCTAATAATTGCGGTCTCCAGTGGGAGGGTTTTGTCAAAGGACTAGCCCCCAAGGCGTTAGCAGCAGTGTGCCGTACAAAGGCTGGGTAAAATACGCTCAACTGTAGCATAGAGGTGGGTCCGGTGACCGATGGGAGGCTTAGTGCACGGTCGAGCACACATAAACGCGAAAGGTTTGATAAAAGCCAAAGTCTCGCTTTAACATCTGGTTTTTGTTTTCATTTCCGGCGTAGACAACGAGTCGTTTTTTTTGTTCGAAATTAATTTAGTATACGCATGAGAAGCAATTCTAAAAAAAACACCGAGCAAGAGACAAATGAACATCGCTCTATATATGTATCGCAAATATCGTATCGCAAAATTTCGTAAATATCGTATCGCAAATATATGTATCGCAAATATATGTATCGCAAATATATGTATCACAGTGTGCATTAGATGTAACCTCTATGTGAAACTGCTACCCACACGTGAAGCACACTTTGACGTTCTTTTCTTTCGTTTGACTTCTTCACCTGATCTTTATATAATTGTCTGACTGTAGATATTGTCTTTTCCGAGTGCATCTTTAGGTGGGTAAATGAGAAGAGACGGGGAAAAACACACCAATATGAAAGTAAGTGGATGGATGGATATATAAAAATGACGACGTCCCACGCGTGATGCGACGAGTAACGTGTAGATAGATTGTCTGCCACTGTATAGCAGCCTGACTGGTGGCTGGATAGATCGATAGGTGAACCGTCCACCTCTTTCAAGCTTACTTACCCACATCAATTCAGCTCATGCCGAATCTAATCTCCTATCATCCGCATTACTGTCGTAACATCTTATGAGCCGGAAAGAAATTAAGGTCGCTGTTATTTTTTGCTGCGGTACAATACCGGATCGATATCTCATCGTTTGGACAACCATGCAGAGGAGTGAGTCTGTAACCGTGGCGATCTCACACACATTTCAGGCAGTCCGTGCGAGTTGTTAAACACCCTACAAAAACATCTGAATACGAGACAATTCATCCATCAACGAACAAATGAAAACTATAGATCATAATGAGATAAGTGAAACGAGAAGGTGTTAATAGGGGTCGTCCAATCATTGAGTCGTCCAATGAATTGAGAAGAGTCGAAATGAGTCGTTCAATCATTGAGTAACATCGTGCATTTTCAACGCAATCCGTTTCCTTTGGTTTTTCGTTATAGCCGCATACGCGACTATATACCGTGTGTGAACATTACACAAATACAGTAACACTATCAGACGATTATTTATCGTTACCTCAAGCGGTAAACAGACGGATTTCCGTTCCGTCGTCGATTCCCCGCACGTGACGTTGAACGCATGTAACGATGATGTCACTCGCGTCTGTCACCACTGTGTGGTTGTCATTTCACGAGCTGACGAATACGATTGCAAACGCACGAGCTTCACGTGTCAACGCTTGCTATATATGTGCACGCAGACGCCTGTCTGTATGCTGTCCTAGACTCACACGCACATCTGCAAACGGTAACATCATCGCACGTGATTCAGTCGTCAGAGTCCCAGCGCCGTCGTGTAATAATGGTTCGTGTATTTATTATTAAACGTCAAGTGCTGCATGTCGTGTTCTGTCAAAACGTCACAGGAATAACGCGCCTGTCTCGCCTGTTAGGACGCGTACGAACGCATTAGCCGCGGTAGTATCGTATTATCGGGTGAGCAGACGACGAGGCAGGCGGTCCTGCAAGGCTGTCGTCTGCCGACGACTGCCTGTACGATGCAACAGCATGCCAGCCGACGAAACGACGTCTGCACCGGAGCTGTCAATCACGTGACACGCTTCCTGTCTCCCCGGGTGATCACGCGGGAAGGTTCAACACGCGAGTTCGCGGCAAGCGACGAGGCCTGCCGTCGATTATCTAGCTGATAGATGCGTTTTCCCCGTCAGCATCGTGTGCAAAGTTCGCTCACTCAGACCGAGATTTTCTGCGACGTTTGAACATCGAGCTAAAAATTCCTCAGCGAAGAAAAAAAAATCGATAACTCAATGCAAAACGGGAAGGTTTCCGAACGTGAGTACCGTGATCATCAAATAAGCGAAACATCAATGAACGAAATACCGACGAATGTAAAACTTACTGCTAGAAAGCATGTACGCGGCGAATATCAATGCGGACGCAGCGCCGAGGGTCATGGCTGAATCAGTGATTACGAAAACAAGTTTTTTTCCGGCTAATTTATCATGATTAATTACATAAATCGCGGTAATTATGAACCTCTTACTAATTGCAACGTCGTCATTCATCTGATAGACAGGCAGTGAATATAAATCTTCGGGACACTAGACGTATTGCTGTACAGCGAGCGACATTCTCTCGCTCTTTCCCACTATATTATATATCCCACCAGGCGCCCTACTATACAGAACGCAAAGACCGGTGGGAGGCAGCACACCCGGGGAATCGCTGCCTCCAATTACTCGTTGTTACGTGCGAGAGATGCTCCGGAAAAAAGAATCCCGCTCGTTCCCCAGATGTCTCCGAAGCCATTATTGTTAGCAGTTGATGTCGGCGAGGCGACATAGGCAATCGGTAACATGAATAAACACACAGTAACATCGCGATGTGTTTATCAGTGAGTTAATCCAGCGTACGGACGACATTTCATGTTGTTACTGACCGCGTGCATTTTTCAAAAGGAGACCGCTTAACACAATTCCTGATTGATTGCATGACGGTTCCGCAATTGCAATAGACGCGGCGCCGTTGAGCGTGAATTTACATGTGTGCAGGGGGGAAATGCGTCCTAGAGTTGTAGCTAGCCCGGGGTGTGAGTGAGTGTGTGTAGTGTGTGTGTGTGTGTGTGTGTGTGTGTGCGCGCGCGCGTGTGTGCGTGTTTGTCAGCGTGTGTATGAGTGTGCGTTGCTTGCATGCATGCGTACGGGTGGTTGTGTGCGCGTAGGTGCGTGTACGCGCGCCTACTGGTACGTGTGCGCGTGCGTGCGTGCGTGTATCGTGTGTAAATGTCATCTCGTTCACGCACGCACATTGGTGTCGCTGTGTGTGTGGGCGCGGGACGTGTGCGTATTTTTCCAATGGACTCGTGTATCAGGGCGTATTCTGTATTTCCTTCCCGCCACGCTAAACGCAGTCATACAGGCTGACATAAGCGTGCGCAGCGTGTAGTATTCGTTTCTAGTCCTAGCTGAGAATATCTTTCTCGTCTGCATCTAGTGTTACAATACCACCGTGGTTTTTTTTAACGCCGGTAACAATATTCACCGTTGCACCAGAAATGTCGTTGTCGTCAGGCATTCGGGTCGCGTGGTGAACTCGCTTGGAACGGTGTGTGCGTGCGTGTGTGTGTGTGTGTGTGTGTGTGTGTGTGTGTGTGTGTGTGTGTGTGTGTGTGTACGAACAGCTGACAATAACATCAGGGTGGGGGAAGGGGAGTGTTTATACCTGCATCGTTGCACCCCTGACTCGGTCAGCGACGTTAGCATACGCAATGAGACACGGCTACATGCTGCCACGACAAACCCCACACTTGTCGCTCCTGCGGGGACACGTGCATCTGTCACCACTAGAGCGACCGCCGCGCGTTATTCTTGTCACACCGATGGCTCGGAGTTTAATGCGACATTCGTGGTTTCGGCTGATCAATGTGGAAATCTAATCTTAGCTACGCATTACTCACGAGTGAAGGAATAACGTGTTTACGTCGAAATTGAATATAAAAGCTGAAATACTATAGCGGATCAGAGGCAGGAAAAGCGGCCTATATCCTTGTATTGTGCATGCAAACGCAATTTTTACATTGTCTGCATAAAAGCACGCACAATGTCCTGGCGTAACTCGGCTAGGCTTTGTCTGCAAGCGGTCTCCTTTGATGCATGCCCGGCTTTACTTCTATGTGAATTGTAGTTATTGATGGCATAGTAATTGATGGCAGTATCAAAAACGCGTGTACGAATCTAAGGCGAAGACCCGAATACAAAGTTACCTACAAGCAGGAATTAATTCGCTCGTGCGGGTTTCTGACTATTCATTAGATTCAAGTGACGCGTAACCGCAATGGCTCACCCAACCGTGTAGTTAAATTGCTATGGACTAGTACTGTAAGTGTGTCATTCGCCGGAGTAAACGCAAGAAGAGTGACAACGGAGTCATTTCGCACCAAAATAATACCGGTTTTTGCCGGTCCAATTTACACCAATTTTTGGTCGCGCGAGCGGGTTCTCGTTTTTGCGCGCATTGCTGATCTTAGCTAGGTAACAGTACCGTCGCAACGAGCAGAATAAAAATAGCACAGGAGCGCGTTGTCAGAAACAAAATTACTCTTAACATTAGTCTTAACACTAACGTTTTCTCGTAGACCGTCGACATCACTTTGTTTCGTATTGTTATGGGGAAATCTTCTACGATTTTTCATTCTCGTAACTTCGCAGCGTTTCTGTCGTCGGTCTAAGAAAAACAGTTAATGTTAAGACTAATGTTAAGACCAATTTTGTTTCTGACAACGGACCCCAGGTTGGTAAACGGGAGAATGTCCACATCGTTGTCGTCCCCGGTAAGATAAATGGATCGTCTCCATCATTGCGCCACGCGGTTATACCTCTGCGAAATGTCAGTGCTGGAAATAGCGAAATTCCTACATTGCTGAATCGGATTACAACAAATGTAATTCGTCCGAGCAAAAAAAGCCCCGCATCCTTCCATCTGTCTTCATATACGATACCTGCCCGCACGAGACAGCTGGCGACATACTGCCACCCTGTGCGGCAGGCACTTGGAACGTCTCAATA